CTTGCTGGGCATGCCCAAGGTCCTGCATTTTCCCAGTTCCCCAGGCTCAATCCGGTGGGATCAACAAWAACAGCAGCAGCTGTTGGGAAAGCAACATTTGCAAGCTGAGTTCTCCCAATCCTGACAGCTGCACGGCTGCATTCCYAAAGCAGGGACTTCTCCTGCCCTAGCGACAGGGGACAGCCTGCTCCTCCTGCTGAACTGATTCCTCACCTCCCAGGATGGAAGAGAACTCCCCAAAATCAGCCGGCGGGGTCGGGCTCTGCTCCAGGGAACAGGGACAGGACAAGGGGAAACGGCCTCAGGCTGGGCCAGGGGAGGCTCAGGGTGGACATCAGCAGGAATTTCTGCATGGAAAGGGTGCTCAGGCCTTGGCAGGGGCTGCCCAGGGAGCTTTGGAGTGCCCATCCCTGGAGGTGTCCCAGGAAGGGCTGGAGGTGGCACTCAGAGCTCTGGGCTGGGGACAAGGTGGGGATGGGCACAGCTTGGACTCCATGGGCTGGGAGGGCTTTTCCAACCCAAATGATCCATGATTAGGGTTTTGCARGGACTTTCCCCATTCAGCCCCTCCCCTGACCTAAGCTTAGAGAGAAATGATAATTTACATATCCAAATTAGAAATGGTCACGTGGTGCCTCTCACACCCCACCTCAAGCCCAACATTAATTTGGGGATGGCTACAAGAAAGGTTGGGCTGGGTTWGGCTGGAAAATGAGTCAAGACTTAAATAAACCCCACCTAAGGCATAGCTTGGGGTGCTTGTGGCTGCTCTTGGATCTCTGGCAGTGCCCAAGGCCAGGCTGGACATTGGGGCTGGGAGCAGCCTGGGACAGTGGGAGGTGTCCCTGCCATGGCAGGGGATGGCACTGGATGGGCTTTAAGGTCCCTTCCAATCCAAACCATCCTGGGATTCTGGGATTTTATGAAAAGATGGAAAGAAAAATCATGGAGTAAAAATGAAGTGTACACATTGCAGGCTGAGTTCTGAAGGATGAGTCCTTAGAAATCCTCTAAAATGAATTCCAAATGGGCAGCAGGGTGGAATCTGTTCATGTCAGTGACATTATTTTCTTCGGCAAAGTCCAGATTCCACTGGTTGGGAAAGCACTAAATTTCCTATTCCAATTGGAGCTCTATGGAACTCTACAGGAAAATAATTTGTGAAATGRTACACTTAAAAAAGCAAATTTAACCATTTTGAATCAAATACTCAACTGTATTGTTGAGTATGTTGAGTATATGTGCTAAACTGCTTTAATTCCACATCCTGGTCCCTGCATGGAAAACTGATTTTTGTTGCTTGACAACAAACACAGCCAAGTTTTTTGTCAGTAAAGAGGAAATTTTGGGCAAATATATGAAAATATATTAAAATTTCTGTCTTCRTAAAGAGCCCAGAGATAAATATGACTTTGTAGAAATGACTGGAAGCAAAAGACTAAACAGCAGTGAGGAATGTCAAGAGTTTCATGCGTAAAATCATTGTAAGAAAAAGTAAATAGTGGAAGAAGGATTCTRTGGCTAAAAGGTGAGTAAAATGGAAAAACTCACAAGTTGGGGTCTTGGAAATATCAAAAGGAGCTCAAYTCCAACAATCCCATACATGATCCTGCTCTGCTTCTCAGTTTGGATTTGTCTGAAATATAAAGTCTATTTTTATGTTTTATTCCTCTGAAGTCTTTGGCTCAGCTCATATCCTGATCTGGCCTCTGCTCAGATTTTACAGGCTCCAAACACATCCCATCTTCCCAAACCTGGACAAGACCCTTTCCATGAACAAACAATCACCAGGATGTGTTTCCACCTATGAAGGATGTGTTTAGTTTCAACAGGAATTCAAGATCCAGGGAAAATTAAAATAYGGTCCTGCAGTGGTCCAGTGCCACGTGGCTGTGATAAAATTAAACATCCCGCACATGCAGGAGAAGGGAATATGCTGCAAATGTTGGGAAGAGATGGGAAAAAAAAAGTCAAATCATCATAATCAGAATTTTGCTGAGCTCAGAAGGAGGAGTGGGGTTGTCATATAAGTTTGGGATTTCCTAAGTACCTGATCTCAAATCCCTCACTGAAATCCCCAAATCTTCCCCTTGATGGTAACCAATAGATGCGGATAAGAGATGGTAACCAATAAGATGCGGATTCCTTCAAAAGCCAAAAAACCCCCACAGAATCCCAGGATCCCTGATGCTGGAAAAGCCCTCCCAGCCCATGGACTCCAAGCTGTGCCCATCCCCACCTTGTCCCCAGCCCAGAGCTCTGAGTGCCACCTCCAGCCCTTCCTTGGACACCTCCAGGGATGGGCACTCCAAAGCTCCCTGGGCANCCCCTGCCAAGGCCTGAGCACCCTTTCCATGCAGAAATTCCTGCTGATGTCCACCCTGARCCTCCCCTGGCACAGCTTGAGGCAATTCCTGACCATTAAACCCAAGAATTAGGAGATTTCCAAGAATAAAAAATTGCAATAGCTGGGACAAGTAGCTCACTTGGGAATTGGAAATGGGGTACAATTGGAAATTTCCACCAATAAATATCTGGATTCTGCATCTGTGAGGCTATCAGAAGACAATCACAGTGTTTTCTGCCTTGTTACCTAATTAATTCATTAATGGTTTTGTTTACAATCCAGGCTGAAGGCTCTCTGAGATTTAATTGCACTTCAGAAGCTGGGGCCAGATTTCTCTCAAAACACAAACAAAGCTGAAACATTCCACTGTGTCCACTTAAAAAAGGTCTTGTACAGAGCCCATAAAATATGGCTGGAACTTTTTAGATGGTTGTTTTTAGAGGAGTTGTGCCTCTATTAATCTCCACATTGCAAAGGAATTGGGCTTTTGGGGCCACCACCACGCCAGGAGTGATTTTCCACCACCAAGGACCTGATTTTCAGTCTCCCTGTGCTCAGCCATCACTTCCATGAACTGATTCCATGGAAAAATGACTCTAATCCCAGATACTTGGCCACTCCAATACATTTATGTGGTTTTTCCAACCCTGGATGGTTTACCCCACAAGAAAAACCTGGATGGAAGTTGGGGTAAAGCCCAGTTTGGGGTAAAGAGGAGCATTCATAAGGCTGTTGGAAGAAGCATCAGGGACCCACGAAAAAACTGAGCAAGCAACACCAATTCCAATGTTTTGGAGTTTTTTYCTGAGATACAGAAAACAAAACTGTCTGGAAAAGCAAGAAAAAAGGGGATTTCCACATCTAACATCAGTGGAATTGAAAATAATTGATATTTTAGGCTGTCTTACCTAAAAGCCACATCCCTGTCCATGGATGCATGGAAAGGGCGACCTCTCCAAGCCACCAGCATTCCCAGAGGTGTTTGGAAAACCACATCCAATGGGAATTTTATTCCTTCTTGGCCAATCCCAGCTCCAGACATTCCAGTTTCCCCCCAGCCACCACCAGTTGCCCTGTCCAGCGGTGATGTCCTGGGGCTTTGTGCCCAAACCTGTAAAATTTTCCTTGATCCATTTTACTCCTGGAGAGCACAAAAAATGTGAATGTTTTCCAGGAACATTCCTGCACTTCCATACTGAGGCAATAAAAGAGCCAATTCCTCCAATGTAGTTTACATTTTTAGCCCAAAATCATAAACCATATTTTTCATGGAGGAAGTGGAAGGATGAGGTAGCAACTCCAGGCTCAGTTTTGACAAAAGGAGTATTTTCTTGGATTTTATAATGAAATTTCCCTCTGTGGCAAAGAGAAACAATAAAATCTGGTGTGTTGAGCTACATTTTCAAATGTRCATTATCCTTTGTTTGTGGCTCAGTGCCCAAACTGGTGGGGTCGCTGCAGGGTGGAGAATCCAGTGGGGAGGTTGATTTAGGAGGCAAATCCCTGGTGTCAGGAGGAGATGGAGTGATTTTCAAAGGGTGGTTGAGCACAACCTCCTGCCCTAAATCATCCTCAGCAGGTGACTGCACCCAGGGATGGTAGGGASCTCCTTCCCAGCAGTGAGGGAATCCTTCCCAGGCTGTTGGAGAGCTCTCATGGCTCTCTTCCCAAACAACAGCTGGATAGCAAACAAAATAACAATAAATAACACCCCAAACCCCAGCAAGGATCAGCGCTCCCACAGATGCTCCTCCTCCCAAACATCCATACAGGAAAAGCCAGGAATAAACCGCAGGGAAGAGCAAGCTGAGCTTTGCACAGCGATTTACTCTTTACGTCACAAATAATCACCAAAACACCTCATTTTGCCAATTTTCCAGTTTCCAGCCGCCTTTGACTCCCACAGGATTATGGAGTGCAGGCTTCCCTGAGGTTTTGTGGTGGCAAAAGGAACTCTGTTCCCTCTCTGTCCGGGCTTGTAGGAGTTCCTACCATACTGTACGAGTGTCCGGTGTCCGGAGCTCCTCCAGGCTGTAACCCAACTCCCTCTTCCTGCTCCAAGTTTTTGTGTTGCCTTGGTGTTACCAAGGGCTCTCCTCCTGCTCAGGCTCTGCTTTAAAGGAGACCACAGAGCTCCAAAGCCAAGCTTGGCTCAGATTTTGCTTTTTCTTTACAATTCTGCATAAAAAAGTCCCTCTTTGGGGCGTATTTTCGTGGTTCAGGTGCTGAATGTTCAGCTTTGAGGACAACCAAGTGGAACCATTCCAGATCTGAATAAAAAATGCATGGGACTGGCTTTCTACTGTAACTCTGTGTTTGGTTAAATAAGATTTTAGGTTGCTCTTCCAATCCCAGCACCCACCAGCCACCCAGTTCTCTGGACTGTTTTTAAAAGGCAATAAATCAACGCCACAAACCACTTAAGAGAAAGGGGAGATGTGGGCTCCTCACTCAGCTTAGGGCATAAATCCTTTTTGACAACTGCAAAGCATTTATTGACACCATTTCTACATCTCACGAGAGGTAACTCAGCTTTCTTTGCTAAAGAATCCCACTGGCTCGTTCATCTCTGCGTTATTTGGGTGTAATAACCAAGGAAATGCAGCCTTTGACACAGCAGTGATTTTCCCACAAAGAAGAAGAGGTCACCTACCAGCTCCACTCTCCCGAACCCTCCGACTCCCAGGGTGTCGATGATGTTGAAATCCGACAGTTTCAGGTTGGCAAAGAAGGCAGCTTCGGCTTCGTATCTGGAGGTTTTGAGGCGGAAAAACGGAAATTTCTTAGAGGTGCAAACCTGAGCAGTGCGTGACACTGYCCCCGAGCCATGGGAGCTTGGGACAGCCTTTACCTGCTGCACTTCCATCCCAGCTCTCAAAACTGGCTCTTAGCTCAGCATTCTGCTGCTCCCAGTCCCAGAACAGCTCTGGAGGGCACAGACTTCCAAGGGGGAATAGCAAACATCCCTACTGGGGGAGCAAAGGCTGGTAATGTAATCCAGCTGCCAAGGCTACAGCTGGGCATTTTCTATCCATCTTCTCCTGGGTGGGGCTTTWWAAAAAWATATTTTGGTATCTTTAAGGAYTTTTGGAAGATAAAAGTCTCTCCTAGGAGTTTCTCTTATCCGCACGCTGGCAGCAGTTTCTATAAATGTTTATTGGAAGTGGCAGGATCACTGAAGGTCCCYGGAGAGAAATCCCAGCCAGCTTTTATGAAATCAGATCCCATAAGCTGCAAATGCCTGAAATGAATGACTTCAGTCACAGACCAGCATTACTATAAGGATATCTTCACTTCTTTTCCTTCTGTAAACCCACTTGGAGCAGACATCCCAAGCTAGGAGGTCCCAAAATCCCAATGCTGTCTGTTTATCTTGTGTCCAACTCTCCCACAACACCAAACCCCTGAGTAAGGAGCACGGAAACCCGACCTGTGCAAGCCTGCCARAATCAGCTTCCCATGCCTATCCATGATCACAATTCCTCCAAAATAGCTCCTTGTTAAGGTTTAGGGTATTTTTAGAAAGGCTYGGAGGGGAAATGGATGAGCAGGATCCACCCCCTCCATAAAATGTGACATTCAGCTGCYGGAGAGCCCCCGCGCGTGTCTGACCTTTGGCTGCTGGTGCCTTGATGGGAAAAGGGTTGGCTGGATTACTGAGGGAGGCCTGCAGGGTGCTGAGGGGCAGCTGGCTTGGTGTGCAGGCCTGAAGTTTAGTCAAAATAGCTCGCAATTAACAGACAGAGCATAATCAGAGGCTGCACTCGTGCAGGGTAAATGGGGAAATGTCGGAAAGATGAGCCCCCACCCCACTCCCGTGCCCACCTGCCCAGCTTTGGGACATTCTTGGCCTGATGATTTCATTAACACCATGAACCGATTCACTGGCAGATTCCCTTCAAACTGTCTCCCTGATCTATTTAAAATCTCACTGACAATGGTGGAGAAAGAGCAAAACCTCATCATTTTCCAGGTGAAAAGGGACAACTATGAATAGGAGACAGGAAATGTGAAAGGTTAGGTCACAAAGCCCCAAACCTGAGGCAATAAAGGACAATTCTCTCACAGGGGGTGCTGCCAACATATATATAATAAAACTCTG